GTGAATCCTATGTTATCTGATTCAATACTACAGAGGTTGTGTGTATGGTCATTAATTGCCCCATCTTTTACTTCTTTTCTTGATACTAAAAGTTTGTCTAATCAAGTGTCCGAAAAAAAGTTCATTTGTGTCTTTTCTTCTTGAATAAAACTGAGGCATTCTCCCAGGGTGGTTGAGATCCAATATTTGATAAGCCAAGCACAGCCTGAAGGAGGAGTAGATACCCATCTTGTCTGGAAGAGAAGCATTTATCCATGTATTTTAATGTCGAAACTAGCAGTGCTGTTCGAGACAATGCATCTGTTCACCTCATGTCAAGTTAATTCTTATGTAACATGGCTTTAAGTAATCTCTCTAGGCCTTGATCATGTAACTATCACATATATGTATTAAAATATTTCTACTTGATTGTTCTACATTCTGGGTAACCTTTCACTGCTGTGGGTTTTTTTGTTTTTGCATTATAAATGCTGTGTGCTTTTGAAAAGTACATCCTTTTAACATTACATTTCTTCTTTATAAGGTAGGTTAAATAAAATACCATTAAAATGCACAATTGTTTTGAAGCTTTTTTGATATTTGCGTCTTAAAAAAACCTGGAAAATACATTGTGTTAGCACTGATTATGCTTCTATAAACGTTGGGCTGATGTGAGTCTCAGGTTGTAAGAAGAACAGTTCAAGGGCAATGTATGGTGTTCCTACTTTATACTCATAATTTCAGAGAGTGAATTTTATTGCATATATACCCAGCTGATTTACTGCATAGTGGGGTGACATTACACACACACAAGAGGACACATTAAGTCCTCTGCAACATAATTACAGAAAACCTTTAAAGTTAGGCTAAACTAGTATGTGCAAATAAAATAATACCCACCTTGTATGTAGTGCTATTTGTAATTCTTAACAAATGTTTTGTGCCAGTATTTTACATATGTGCCTTAACTAAACTTAACTAATCTTGTGCTAAAGTCGTTTTGGTTTAGTTTGGTGAATATTGTGAAGTTCTGTGACTGAAGATTGGAACGTGACTTAAAGAAAAGTAGAAAGTAATTTACACTCAAGTCATCATTTCTTTCATAGCATAGTCTGTTATAGTAAAGAGATTATATATCCAAGAGTTCTCATAGAGAAGTGAGGTTCCAGGATTCAAATACAAATACTAAATGATCTGAAAAACTTCTTAAAATGGTTGTTAACTTTTGGTAAAGTTCTTTCCTGTTTACATTGCAAGTTTTATTTTGTATTCCCTCTCTGAAACAAGCACAGTGATTCTCTGCCTCTATCTTTAAAATTTATTTATGTAATGAAATGTTTTTGAGATACATTAGTGTCACTTGAAGATTTTGTTTTGCCCTCAGATTCATCTTAGTTTATCACTGAACTAATGCTTGATTTAAGGTTTAAGGAACATTTTGCTCTTGGTATTTTATGTTTTAGTGTTAGCTTTGTAATTCCATCTTGGAGTGTTTTAGAGCAATTGGAGGGATAAAATAATTAGACTTCACTATGAGTTTGGGCTACGGTTCATCTTTCCCCTTTTCTCATCTCTCCCCTTTTCTCATCTCTCCCTTCCTAAGACACCTTGGGGTCCAATCTCCATTAAAAGCACTAGACATTTCACTGTATACCATCTGGAAATCTGTCATGTAATTTGCAAAAGATGTCTTAGGGTGCCTTTAAAAAGATTCTTAAGGAATTTTCTTGCAAAAACCAGTAAATGCAGACAATATTGTTTATGCATCTTCATTGTTCCAAAATTGAATATTATTAAGCAGCCACTCTGTATACTGTGTGAAAGATCACCCTAATGCTGAAGGAATGAAATACATAGTAAAGCTAAATTCTTTGTGGAAAATAAACCAGCAGCTTTAGAAACAGTGAGGTAGTCTGATTGCTTATCAACGTATCATCTATCTTGCAAATTTCTTATTAACTTAAGCCTGGAGCAGAAGAGTAATATTTTGTTTGTTCTCTTGTTATTTCAACTTGATTCTAGACCTCTATTGAAAATGTAAAGAACACTGTGTCCTAGGAGTATTTTTTGGTATAATGATGTATTTCTGTTCTGATTCTTTTTTCCTCATATTTGTTGCACAGTTCTAATGTTCTGTCGACTCCTAGAAAATATTTTATAAGAGATTCTTCAGGTGTTTAAAAGCCAAGACATCGAAAGCAGCCATTTAAATTCACTTTCTTGTGCTTGGGAGATAGAGACCTACAACAGGTTCTGAAAGCTGAGATATCTACAGTTAAGGAGATATGTTTAAAAAGACACAGTGTTCGTCTGAATTAAAATTCAGTGCCAGAGTGTATGCAGTAATAGTTGTTACTTGTCTACAAGAGTGTTTCTCTACACTTCTGTTGCTCTATTTGTAAACATGATTAGATGTGTCATCTCCAGTAAACAGAAGGGTGGATCTGAAACTTTCAGCTGTAGAAGATGAAGGTCCATTCTGCATGTTTTTATACCCTCACTGCCTTTGTTTTCAACCATCTCTTAAATCTCATGGATTTCGTGTTTTGGTATTAATTTTTCTAAATAAGAATTTATATCATTGTATAAACAGTCCTTCATTTTTTTATTTTTGTGGTTTTGGTAGTTTGGTAGAATTTACTTGTATGGCACTACTCATCACCTTTAAATCTGCCCTGTTTATTAGTGTTAAATAAATCTGACAGTCCTCCAAGACATGCTTCTTACCATGGTAACTGAGAACTTAATGTCAGTTAGTGTAATTATTTTAATACTTTTTTTGAGGTAAGAAATTGGTCACATCTTGCAAATGGAAAATACACACAAAAAAAGGATATAAATGCTTTTAAGTAGTAGAAGTAACTTATAAGTAGTATAGCACAAATAGGTGTTTTATGTGTATGCATCCAATTTTATGTGTATGCATCCAATATATAGTATTCTATAGGTATTTTATGTGACACATTTTATAAAATGTGTCAGTACCTATTTTTCAAATTAAAATTCTAAGTATTTGTGTAAAACGTGGATTCTTGAATGTCAGCAGTGTTGGGTGTTTTTCTCCACCCAGTCACTTTGTTTATTTTCTCCATCACCGATAATGAGCTGACCTGTTAGAAGCCATGAGGTTTTGATAGTCAGAAAAAGATCCACGTAATATCAAGTCCACAGCATTATGCACAGACATTGTAGATGCACTGCTCATATTGCCTGAATTTACAGGTCTTTTTCAGTGAAAGAGAACCTTCTGATCTGGGCTTCTTGACTTGGTAAGTTTGCAGAAGTACAGGTCACAAAGCGAAAGAAAGATATTTCTCAGCTTGTCTTCAAAGACAACCCTTTAAGTGTTGTTTCTGACTGCTAGAAAGACACTAAGGGAGGGAGGTCCTTGCTGTGTTTGTGTGCTTTGTGTGAAGCTAGTTTAGGGAACAGTATAGGTAATTTAGATGGATAGATTATAGATGGTGTCCTGACTGTTTCACTTACTGATGCTAGCTGGATAGCATGCCCTGGATTCCTACAAAAGAAATAGCAGATCTTGGGGGAGTCTGGGTTCTCCTCTGTGCTGACTCTGAGAACTACACAAAAATTGACTGGGGACGCTGAAGTCTGTGATGAGGTGTGAAACAATGTCACAAGAGAATATCTTTTCACTAATGGCACTTAGAAACAGGCTTGGCTGCTTATGAAAGTGTCACTGAAATGCCAGGGAGAGCATTTCCTTCTTCCTCTGATTTCTCTTTCTGGGCTAGAAAGTAGACAAGAATGTCTTAAGTGGGTTAAAAGTGCATGACTTTAGCTAAACGGTCATAGCAAAACAGAGAATGTATGACAGTTAAACTTCTGTGTTGAACTTCTGTCCGTTGTTGCAAAAAAAGTGCTGATGCATTTTAATATTTTCATGCTTTTATAGGTATTTACATATTTTTCAGTGAGAAGACCTTTTACTTTCTGTAAGGCACTTTTATCCTGAGTGTTAATGGGTTTTCAGCTATTAAGATGTGATTATATACCTTAAGTATTTAATTATAGATTTAAAGAAATCTTTATATGCAATCTCAGATGAATACTTGGAATGCTTTCCTAGTAAATTGACTCACTTTCTTGTAATTTACTAGAAGTGCTGACATAAGAACAGGTGTATTGTGGAAAGTGTATTAATCTGTGGAGATGCATTGTGTGTATGAAATTATTACTCTGATACTTACAGGCATATGAGATGATTTAAACTTACTCTTGTTATTTAGAATCACAGTAGCAAAATATCGCTGTCTTTTGATAGGAATAAACAGTGCAGTAATAAATTAGATATTACATAAATACATATATTTTATAAAGGATTGTTGTGAGTCAAGAGAGTCAGCAGAAGTTGGTTATAGTGAAAGTTGTTTCTATTAGTTTATAAAAGCTGCCTAGAAGTATTTTCACTTGAGTTCATATCTGAAAAATGCAGCCAGTGATTCTTGACAACAAATCCTGAAGCAACTAGTCTGATGCTATTCTGTGGTGATACAATCACCTTTTGCTTGTATTATTTTTTATAAAGGGAACTGGACTTTAAATAGGTTTTAGATTTAGTGCATTTTAGAAATGGTTGTGAGATGATTATCTGATTTATTTTGTTGTTTTTTTCTAGAATGCAAGAAGTGGAGAACTGCAATTAATTTCAATACTCCAGTATTTATCAAAATTTTTTTTGGCACTGGGAGACTAAATAGTCTTCTCTTTCTGGAGTCATCATATGTAAGAATTGTCTAAGGCTTTGTAAAACTGTCGTCCAATAGACTGGGACATGGAGTCACAGCTAGACCCCATGAAAGATGACTTGCCCTTAATGGCAAACACTAGCTACATGCTTGTAAAGCACTATATATTGGACTTGGATGTGGATTTTAAAAGTAAAGTTATTGAAGGCAGCATAGTTTTATTCTTTGAGACTGGGAGCCAGTACAGGAAAACCAGCAGTACTGGCAAAGAATGCTGCCAGTCAGAGTTTGATGAAACCTGTAAAATAAGGACATCCGAATGCTGCCACATTCCTAGGACAAATGTGAGTGACTGTTCGCCTGAAATGGAATATAATGATTTTGCTGTTGGTGGCAAAGGTGAAGAAAATTCTGACAAAAACGGTAACCATAGCAACAATGCACAGGCTTCTGGGATTTCTAGTTCAAAGGACTGCTGTGGCATGATGAATCATGGGAAGAAGGATTTTCTGCTGGTATTGGACTGCTGTGATTTATCTGTGCTCAAGGTTGAAGAAGTAGATGTTGCTGCTGTGTCAGGCATTGAAAAATTCACAAGGTCTTCCAAGCTAACTGGTGTATCAAAGGAGCTGGAAAATCTCAGGAATCAGATTGTACATGAGCTTGTGACTTTACCTCCAGATCGCTGGAAGGAACAGCTATCCTATTTTACACACTGCAGCCAGGCACCTGGCTGTGGGGAGCTTCTGTTTACTACTGGCACTTGGAGCTTGGAGATAAGGAAATCAGGAATTCAGACTCCAGCAGACTTTCCTCATGCAATAAGAATATGGTACAAAACCAAACCAGAGGGAAAATCCGTTACATGGACTACAGACCAGAATGGCAGGTATGTAACTCTTAGCTGAAAGTTTTGTGCGCATTAGTTTAGAATAGGTGTGAGAATGTAGAATCATGTAGCTGCAGAGCAACTGTGAAGATGATGAGTACACTCTTCCACAGTTTCCTTTGTTTGTTGTGTTGTCAAACATCCTTTGTTTGAATCTTTTGCTGTCCTGTTGGAGAACAGACAAACAAATAAGCAGAGGCTCATGAAACCCCAATGAACTCGCAGACCTCAGGCCTGTCTAAGTGACTGTGTTTGCTCATTCTGAGTGGAAGTAAATAGTTTGTGTGTATTTGCATAAGTGTGTAGAGGGAATAGGGAATTATCATTTAGGGGAAGAAAAGGTATGAATGACAAGTTATTTTACTATAATACTTTGTGCTCTTTTTCCTTCCTCACTTACACAGGTCATTGCAGATCAATATATGTAGCATTTAATAGAATTACTTCACAACTAGTCTTTTATCAATATTGTAATCACCTTAGAAACACAGTCTTTTCCTGTTTAGTTTCTCATAGTCAGCTTTCAGAATCTCCTTCACCTCCTGTGTTAAGTACCTTGATGATAGCAAATGAACTGTAAACTGAAACAATAAGAATTGGCATTATATATAGTGTTTGTGGAAGCTCTTTATAGGAGGGAAAGTACAGTCCACTCCACTTCTACAACAGCAATTGTTTTATTGTAATGTTCAAAGCTGGGTTTGAACAGCTGTTATTTATTTATCATAGCTGAAAAGCAGGAACAAAGTTGGAAGAAGAGGAAAAAATTCGATCTAATTGAACACTTGCTTTTCATTCCCAAATGAAAAGATATATGGTTACCTTTCATTTCTATAGTAGTAGAAATTAAGAGTCTTCTCACTGGCATCCATGCTGGGGAGGAAAATGAGGCCTTTTAATTGTACATGTGGTAGTTAGAGAGTTTTACTACAAATCTATGAGCACCTTCAAGTCCAGAAATGTCTTAGTCACATTCATTACCT